TGCTTTTGCTGGGCACGAAGAATCAGAACTCAAGTACTCCTTTTCATCACCAGGAATGAGGGACAGAACAAATTCATTTATCATTTCAACTACTTCGAGAGTTGGTGCCAATAGTGCTTTATCCTCATAAAAGAATAATTTTTCATATTTTCAAACATAAGTCATTTCCCAATATAAGACTTAAACTTTTTCAAATTTTTCATTTTTCATTTTTCAAATTTTCCATTTTTCATTTTTCATTTTTTAAATTTTTCATTTTTCATTTTTCAAACTTTTTCCCAATATAATTTTTCAAATTTTTTATTTTTCATATCTGCACTAAATAACACTAAAACAAAAGTCATTTCCCAAAATAAGACTTAAAGTTTTTATTCCTTAAATAACACTTAATAATGTCTAGAAGGAGAAATAATATCCTGTGACGGTGAACATTTGTCTAAATAATGACTAATGGATGATGACTAAAAGTGCTACATTGGGAAATAAAAAACATATGTTGCTATTTAGGGAAAGTCATTATGTTTTAGTGTTATTTAGGTAAATTCCTCTGACTATGAATATATATATGGAATATCAATTATTTCAGTTGAACACAGCTTAGTTGTCATTTTGATAAATGAATTACGTGTTAGATATAAGTAAATTTTCCAATTTAAAAATTATATTTGAACTTTGAATTATTTACAGTGATCCTTCCGTATCAATGCCTAATTTTTTTTCCTCGCATGCATATCACTTTGTTTTAAAATATGTACTCACATTTTTTTATATTCACCCATTTCATATCAAATTTATTGCAAAGTTTTGAATTTTATTTAAAAGATTTTAAATACGGATATGTTTTTACTCAACTTTGTTAATATTCGTCCATTCAATTGTTTAAAATATTCAATATGTATAAACTATTTTTTCATAAAAAATATAGAAAGATGAAATTAAAGAGTCATGGTTAGACATCATTTTATTTCTATTGATGTAAATATAAAATTGATAAAAAATAATCAGTGAGCTATATGCATACCTAGATAAATCAACAATTATACATTTTAATTATCCATGATTTCTATGCAACCTATGAACGACGTTTAATTTTTTTAGGAATGCAGATTATAATTGATCAAATAACATGACTATAAAATAACATGACTAAACATATATTTTTATCTTTTCTTGGAGTGTTCATTTTCACATGGAGAATTTGTTAAATCCTTCTAAAATTGACATCTAATATTAAATTTTGTATAAAACTTTTTTTATTTAACATAAATTAATTTATCTATACTAACGATTTATATATGAAGATAAGAAAATTTTTCAATGCTCATTAAAATGCAACCATATAAATTTTAAATACAAAAATTCTGGTCACTAACATATCCCATTTCATTTTGTTATTTTAAATAATTCAAAAATGTTATGCATCAAATTACCTTAAAACAATAAAACATAATTAAATGTATTAAGATAAAAAAATATTTAAAGTGCGTACCTTTTCTATCTTTTTTTGTTGAAGTATTCATTTTCTCATTTCTCTTGCATCTCTAGCTGATCTCGTCCATGTATCGTCAACTTGATTTTTCATAGCCCTAATTGAAATTGAAAAATAGGATGCTCCTACCACCAATCCTTTTAAAAACAAAAGGCTGAAGTTGAATTAACATTCTCTGCTTATTTATTGCATAATTAATTCTGAATGCCTATATATTGAAATGGAAAATGAAAATGGGTGATGGATGTCACATTTCAACTCATTATATATCTCTTTTTATAGAGTAAATTCTATAATTGGTCTTTTATAACAGGGGGGTTTCCCTAATTAGTCCTCTATTATCAAATATTATCCAAGTGATCCTTCTTTTATGAGTATCTTTCCACAAATAGTCCTTTTTTTGGTCTTCTGTCATGTTGGTGTTAATTTGAGAGCTAAAAGTGTAATTTCACAATGATAATATATCTTTTTTGTCATACACAATTTCAAAGGCTGTTCCGTTTGCGTCGTTTGTGAATTACAGTCGCTTTCTACTACAACCATAGTCTACAAATGTGGTCTTTCGTCAGAACCCTAGCCCACAACCATAGTCATTATTTTTGTGTTATCCGCTTAACCAATATTAGAACACGTCACTAAACATAATGTTGATGTCAAATTATACTTTTAGCCAGGCCCGCCCATATGCAAGTTCATGAGGTTCTTTTGCACAGGGCCTAAAATTTGGAGGGCCCATTTTTATACTTACCCATTAATTACAGCCCAATCCGGCCCTTATTCATTTACTCCATATTGTCCTCGACCGTCCATATTCTATCCAAGAAGCCATGAACAGTAATTTACTTACTACGTACGGAGTATTTGATTTAATTTTTTTCATTGCCAGCTCAGCTCTTCAGTTGGACTCTTGGACTATTATTCTTTCTTTAATTCTTGCCTTCTCCCATTCTCCCTCTTTTATTATACTTCCTCCCTACTTCATTACTTTGTTCCTTTGCCTTTAATCTATCAATTCATAGATAACTTTTTTTTATAAGTTTATGATCATTAATTCTATTTTGGATTTCTCTTTCAAAACTTTTCAATTTCATATTTTAATGCCCAAAA